AATTAATTTACTAAAACAGAAAGTACTGATATATTGCATTGAGGTCATCAAAACGGACAAGTCTCTAATATGCAAACTTAGATTTCCCTGAGTGATTAAATCCCGCTGATGAGCTCAGTTTGAAGTGATTGATCACACCAGGATCCTGACATTGAGGGATCAGTCAGGGACTTTAAAAACCCACTGGCATCAAAGCTTCTGACAAATTTAGGGCAGTTCTTCGGTACCCAACGGACTCCAGCTTCTGAAACTCACTGAGGGATTGCAGTGTGTAGGCTTATGTGTTTGTGCGGAGGAAAAGGAGGCAGGACAAGAAGAAGAGAGACAGAGAGAAGGAGAATTTACGGACATATACAGTATCCATGTGTTTCTAAGAACTGGAATAACATACATAAGACATAAAAGACTTGGACACGCCGACTGGGGGGTAAAACGCAAACACTAGGTTTAAAGGAAAGCTACAAAAACAAAAAGGTGCTCCATCCAGTGCCCCTCCTATCACAGGTGTTGTGAGAAAAGCCCCACGACTGGATCTTAAAAACACACCCTATCCATCTTAACAATCACAAAAAATATCCTACTTACCAAAAACAAGTATAACTAAATCCTTTCCATCAGCGTCCCAATTTTCTACTGGAGTGTTTCGGAGTAGAAATAACTTAACTGCCCTAAATGTGGGCTCTTTACGTAAGTAAGACTCAATAAATATTCAACATACATTTCTGAAGTTGGCTAATTAGTCCATCATGGGATAAAAGGAACTGGGTTGAAGTTTCCCCAACGCAAAATGGACTTAAACTGATGGGGCCCAATACAGAACCCTGAGGAGCACCACAGGAGTCCGTTATAAAAGATATCTAGTCTTTATCTACTCTGAGATCCACAGAAAGTCCTGTACGGGTTTCCATAGCAGAGGTGCCCTAAATAGAGTGGTGTAGGGATCATTTTTGAATGCTAACCCGAAAATTAGCATCGCAAGGGCTAACTTGACAAAAAGCCATGGTATTCTCCTGATTAGATTTCTGTATATTGCAAGAAAAACACTTTTTGGCTAACACACATTAATGATAATCTCCACATATTAACACCACTTTATGATCTTTGAGCTTAAGGCGGCTAATGTTGAGCGTGATGAAGTTTAGTCGTCTCATTTAGACACTTGTTCGCAACCCCCGTTTTCAAATTAGAACTAAATGTTATAATCTCATATTCAATTTACTTGTATATAGACTCTTCTTGCACTATTTCTATTTTATTTGTATTAACTTGCGCAACTCAAAACATTCTCTCGCACAATTGTATCTGTTTTATGTCCTATATATATTCATGTTGCTCTGTTGGAGGAGCCTGTGACTTCAGTTTTTCATTGACATATCTACACTGTAGCTGCTGAGCACTTGATGATAAAGCCTTGAATCTTCAGCTTGTTATTTCCTTATTTTAGGCTTGGCGTTCAAAAAACACGTTCAAAAGACCATTGACTTCATGACCAAGGAACCTGAAGTAGTAAAATGTATTTTGCGGGTTTTAGGACTCATCCCTGCACCACTCTATTTGTGCTCTTCACATCGAACAATAAATCAATCTATTTGTAAGGTTTGCTAGTGAGTCCATCATGAAATGAAAGAACTTGGTTGGTTTTGCAGTTTCCTCAACACAGAATGGACTCAAACTGAGGGGGCCCAATACAGAGCCCTGAGGAGCACCACAGGAGTCCGTTATAAAATAAATACGTGTCCTTGATCTACTCTGAGCTCCACAGTTTGTCCTGTGCGGGTTTCCATTAGCTTCCCACGGTTAACGGAGGGTGAGATGTTGGATAAACAGGAACAATTTTGGGCACGAAGTTGTAAGGAAGAACAATGGCAGGAGGGGTCTTTTTTTCACTGGAGAGGGTTTCGGGGATTTTTATTGTCGGTTTGGTTTTTGTCTCTGCGGGGTCACTTACACGGAGATGCGGGCGAGGAGAGTCCGCCGTCGGGGGGCGTGCTGTTGGGTTTAGAGTCGGACATGGGGAGGGGCACTGGGCGGGCCACTGGGGGAGGTGGAGGCAGCAAGAAGGAGCCCGGCATTTTGCTCTGGCCGCTCCCGTTTGGCTGCAGACACACAAATAGGGTCAGGAGGACGACATGCGACAATCCGCAAAAAAACGGGATGGAAAAAGAAATGGACGCGGCTCAGGAGCTCCAAAAAAATATCCATGACGGAAGGAGGGGATGGTGGAGAAGAGGGAGGAAGGTGGGAAAAAAACAACCAAAGGAATTATGTATGTAGATCTTTTATGGAGGTGTGACAAATAATAATCACCACGGGGTTTGAGAGGGAGGTGAGAGGCTCCACAGCAGGAGGTCTGTGGTGGGTGGAGGAGGAGGGAAGTGAGCACATTATTGACTGGGTTTTTCCAAGAAGATGGCAAGAAATCAAAAAACCATGGGACTCGTCTACACAAGCACAACACCACCAACGATACCAGCACCAAACAACCAAACTCCGAGTGAAATCGGCTAGAGATGGAAACAGAAACACGATGGAACAACAACACAGGACGGGAGGTTTCTGTGACTGATTCACTCTGATGAGAACTTCTGAGGGGGTTTGGTGGAGCGAAATATAAATAAAAAATAAGAAAAAGGTGAGGAAGGGAAAAACATTGGGGTCTGAAACAGTAAAAATGACATTGACAAGACAATACAAAGATTTGTAGACTGACTGAGTAAACAAATGTCTGGTGTGTTTACTTGTGAGGTGTGTTTCTGTGTTCACCTTGAGCACTCTTATTTAGAAATGTAAGCAAACATAACATTGGAAGTATTTGAATTTTTTCTGTGGTTTGCATTCCTGTGAATTCTCAGATTACAAAACTCCATTTCAAGTTTGTTCTCAGGTTTACAAATTCAAAACATATTTAAAAATAACTCGGAAAACGTAGGTTCAAATTCAGATCAATCCAAATCTAATATATCAATTCAAACCAAGCCGTGTTTCTTTAAATTAGAATTTATCCACTGGATCCAACAAACCAAACTTGAGATGAAAACATCAGAACATGTGAATTTTTCTGAATTTGAAAAACGGGAAATCAAACCACAATAAATTAGACAAATGGTTTTCAAAGTAAAATTCCAATGCTATAAATTCCTTAGTACTTACATGTTGAAACCAAGAACAGTAGTTGTCAAATTGTATAATTAGGTTGCTAATGATAATAATTATTGTAGCTTCCATATCACATTTCAGCACTGATATGCTTATATATAGTCCAATGTTTTACAGTTAATTGTTAATCACTATTTTTTGCAGATTCATATTTGAACATTTTGTCTTATTTTTTAATGTATTTTTTAATTGTTACCTCTTATTTTACAACTTAACTCCTACTGTGTTTATGAATGCACAATTATACAATACTCGGCAATAAACCTTTTTATGATGTTCTTCTACTTTCTTTTTAATAATCACTATAATTGCTAACTGCATCAAACACTATAACCCGAGGGAAGAATCCTGCAACTCGAAGGCATGCGAGGTGCGGCACATGTGCAGCTACAGTTTAAACGTCCTTACCTGTCCGGATGACTGCCCTGATCCGTCGGCACAGACGAACTGCACGAACTCCTTCAGGGGGTCCTGTCCCGGGTGGTGGTGGTACCGGATGGTGGGGTGGGTGAAGTAGGGGCTGGACTGCTGGATGATGGAGGGAGACGGGAAGTGCAGCGCAGAGGCTGTAGCTCGGGGACTCCCTGCCAACACAGACATTTCTATTAGAGGAGAGTGGAGAGAGATGCAGAAAGCGAGAACACATGAGTTCCTGTTACACAAGGGATGAAGCAGCATTAGAGTGGTGCAGGAATGAGTCCTAAACCCTGAAGTTAGAGGCATGTTTGCACTTCCTGTTCTCTTGTGTTGAAGTGTTTTATAAATGTGTTTTTGGCCTGTGGTTAACACAGAAGAGACTTTTGTTCTACGACATGAATTACATCAGTAAATACCCCACTGGTGGATTTAAAAACAGAGGTTGGTAACAAGTGTCTAAATGAGACGACTGAACGTAATCACGCCCAACATTAGCCACCTTTAGCTTAGCGGTGGTGTCGTGAAGTCATGTGACCGTGCTGTAGTTCCTTTATAGCCCAACATTAGCCACCTTTAGCTTAGCGGTGGTGACGTGAAGTCATGTGACCGTGCTGTAGTTCCTTTATAGCCCAACATTAGCCACCTTTAGCTTAGCGGTGGTGACGTGAAGTCATGTGACCGTGCTGTAGTTCCTTTATAGCCCAACATTAGCCACCTTTAGCTTAGCGGTGGTGACGTGAAGTCATGTGACCGTGCTGTAGTTCCTTTATAGCCCAACATTAGCCACCTTTAGCTTAGCGG